TTGAAGGTGATGATCAATGAATTATTAGAAAGGCGGAAGGGGATGATAGGATAGAGGATGAAAAAGATATAGATAAAGACTTCACCAGAGTAACAAAAATTTTTATTTATAATATATTTATATTATAATTTTATTATTTACCATTAAATGTTTTAATTTATTAGGAAATAGTGAATAATGTGGCAAAAGTCTTATTTCATGATATACTGTAATTTATCCAACCAAGGATGAATTTCGCGAGGCATGGAGCAATATTTAGCTGAAAACTACGCGAATTTTTATAATAATTTAAGTGAAAAACGCAGGACCGTTTTTTATAATAAAAATATACATTAACAGGTAATTTTAGAACAATTTTGCTTTATTCATCTTAAAATTTGAAATTAAGAAATAAATTCATTTTTTAAATAGTTGATGTATAAGCGGGTCATTGACTTCTCGAACCAGAGAAGCATTATATGGGGATTCGATAATAAATATTTTATGAATAACTACAATTTGATAATGAAATGTTAAATATATTTTACTAATTCAATTATAAATATTCACTAAATTACCTAACAACCTTGATAATATTTAGTAATGAAATCGCGAATTTTAATAACATTTCAGCAAAGTTATTACATATACGGCTACTATTCATTACACGCTCACCTACGTCACTACGATTTATCAATAATTTGTAAATTTGAATCGTGGCTATCATTTTAATATCAAGTTACTATAGCCATGACCAGCTCATAACTCAATTCGTGACTAACTAATCATGTTTCTGTAAAGAAACATTAAATAGAATAGAAATAACATGTTGTTTGAGCACGTTTATTACTGTCTTTTTATAAGAAAAGAAAAAAAAGTATTCATAAAATATTTAAACTAAAGTATGTGACGAGTCAAGATGAATTTGTATAAAAAAATTTCTCATATTAAAAATTGGCATGATTAAATTAAATAATAGTCGAATGCGGCAATACATAACTTTTTTTATATAATTATCAATCGAGAGAGATTGATTCAATTATTAATTCATTTTCTTTTGAATTATAACACTTATTTTCTAATGAGTTAATAAAATTTAAAACATTTCTTAATAGAATTTTTATTTTTAAAAAAACTAAATAAAGAAATAAAAATAAATTAAAATAAAAATAAAAATACAAAAAAATACAAAAATTATAAATCAAGTTTTAATTGACATCAGATTTTAAACTTTATGAATAAAGAATGCTATACGCTAAAAAGATGAAAAAATTATTAAGTGATCCTATGGGTTTCGATGGAGCAATAATGAAAAATTGATATAATCATAAGAAATCAATAAAAATTGTTGGATACCATTGTAATGCAAAATCGAAGTGTAAGCTTTCGACTATTTGCCAGATACTATTTGTTAAAATGAGTTTTGACCGCATCTATATTGGCAATAAGTATACAAAAATTCAAATAATTATGTTGCTCAGTTGATAAAAAAAAATATTTGGCTAAGGTCAAGGTCCAAAAGCTCAATTTTCTTATTGACTATTTCATCAGCTATTATAAAAAAAGATTTTATTCGTTGTGACTCGATCACTACCATGAGTTCGAATATTTTTATTTTTTTATTATTGGATCATGTCGTACAAAGAATATAATAACAATTGATATATATACCATAACATATTAGAAATTACAATTTTTTTTAAAAAATTGGTAATCTTTACAGCTAAATCTTTGTAGTTCTTAATGTTCGCAAAGGCTCGAATTTCATTAACTAAGTTAAGATGATTCAAATTGTAAGTGAAACTAGGTACGAAAAATCTTTTATACCCTTTTCGCTTATAAATTCTTTCAAGATGTTAAAAGTAACGATAAGATCTTGAAAGCGTTTATAACCATTAGTTTCTTTAACTGGACATGCTTGCAGTTATTCAAGAAGGTTTCAAGCCATTTTGATTCATCGAAAGTCTAAAATCCAAATAATTTAATGTATCTGGTTACTTTTGTCCTAACTTCTGTAAAACCTTTGAATTTGTTCGATAAAGGAGGTTGATATTGTGAAATGAAAGATACTTAAGATAATCCAAATGAAGATATCAGATTTTATCACAGTAAATTAAAACACTTTCGAACGCTTTTCCTCTCTTGGCATTTTCAAAAAGTCCTAATTGGATATATTCCAGATACGAACCAAACTTTTTTATCAATATGTCAATTCCTGTGACCTTTTTACCAATTACACTCAAGGTTTTAATCTTTAAGGGAACATTAGTATCAACGAATGTTTAAAATGCATTGAATGATTTTTTGTCTGTAAATTGGCAACTTTTGAACTCAATTGATGTTAAAGTATTATGACTGCATTTGATAGCATTGAATAAATCGATCGTTATGTATGCACTGCAAACTGAGATGGATCGAAGCTCCCTTTGTGATTGAATTATATTTACTAATTGTATCTTGGATGAAATTTTATCATAATGACCATTAATTTCAACGTGTTTAAGGTGCTTAATGAAAGCATATAAAGGAGATAAAGGTTGGCATTGCATGAGATAAAAACCTTCCGTAAGGTCAAATTGAAGTCTTTCAATATCTGACATAAATTTTGGGTTTCCAAAAAACTATCAATTATGCTATAGAAAAACACGACCGTCGTTCTTAAACTATTCTAGGAAGCATTGATTTTTATAAATAATTTAACCAATGACCTACAAATGTAAAGAGGTTCTTTTGTCGTTGTTGACTCCGTGAATCTGCCATTCACATTAAAATGCACTTTATCGACTTCGAGTGAAAAGGTTGATTTGACTATGCTTGAACAATATGATCATATTTCCAATTAACCACGTGCCTTAGTAATTTGCTCATATCTAGCGATTTAATGAAACTTGAGTAATTGAAAAGTTGTTTTTGTTTTATTGACATGCAGGATGCTTCTAATTTCGATTTAACTTGAAAAGGGATCTTCCCAAAGCAAAAGAATTGTAATCCGACACCAAAAATCGATTGACGGAAGCGCATGAATAAAGTGAATTGAAATCTCCGTAAATACTGCACGATATAATTTGTTATTTCAGGTTAATCTCCGGAAAATAATTTTGAACATTTCATGTCGATAAAAGGAATAAGTGAAAGGCAGAAGCAAAGAAGGTTGAAAACGTGAAAGTAAAAAGTAGCACGGTATTAATAATCATCTAAATCAGGATTCTATCACTAATTTTACTAATTTTGGAAATAATTTATAATTATTTACTACCTTTAATGGCTTATTGTGTCATGATAAATATTGAATTTAGGTTGAATTTAAAATTACGTAATTCTGTCCTCACATGAACACGTGATTTTCTGAATAAAAATGTAACGCGTAAACAGTTTGGTTTATTTATTTCTCTCTTATTTTGATAAAATCGGCCAGCTTTCTTCGCGTTACAAGAATTTTATTTTAAATAATATTGTTTCGAGATTTTTACTCGCATGTATAGAAAAACAAAATTTCCAAATCGACCTGTCAACCAACACGTCTTTTCGTGTTTTGTTTATTAAAAACGAAGTATTGAGCTATTGGTTAGTATTATTTTAGGTGGGTGTCATTTGAATTTGTCACTTGTCTGTTATTAACTTTGTGGGATCTAGGGGTGCACAGTAAAAGCACTGCATGTACTAAGTCTTGTGATGTCTCTTGGTGGGATTATCCTCTTGAGACTGTGTATTCCTATGTGCCCAATTTCTCTGAAGCACGAGAGTAAGCCTTGGCAGGATAATAATATTCCTATGACATCTGTTTGGGATGTCAGACTCTCTTTTGATTAAATTTGGTCTGACCCTCTACCACCCCTCTCTCTTTTTTTTATCACTTAGAACGTTGTGTTAGTTTCGTCCATTAGAAATTTAACTATAAATTCAGCGGACTTTTGATGACAATTTTGAAGTATAAGGCTATTATTTTAGGTGGGTGTCATTTGAATTATTGACTTTTATTTTATCTGAAGTCAAATATATCACATTTTATTTAATTAAATATAATGAGTTGTGAAGGATTTTTTTTGTTCGTTAATAATAAATTATTTTTTAGGTTATAGTCTCCATATTATTAATGTGTCGAGAGATATAGAAAAAAAAAAATAGTACGATTGCAATATGTGAATTAATGTCTTAATATTTATGATTATTATATCAAAACTCACTTACTTTAAATAACATATGATTAATATCTATTTAGAAACGTTTATTCTCTAATTAATAATTAATTGACCCTTACTGCGGCAATATTAGAGGAAATCATATTCGGAAAGTGACGCCCGATCCATATTTTATAATAAAACATTTAAAGAATAGAAAATTACAAGCTATATACAAATTATTTCTAAATTTTATATAATTTTAAAGCCAGTTAGTTGTATTTACTTAAAAAAAAAATATGGAAATTTTAAATTCATAAACTATTTTAATTTTATGTACAAAGATTTTTTCTATATGGTTTAGGTGCAAAAAAAAATTCAGGTAGGGATTGGAATCGATTCTGAAAAAATCGAAACTAAATAGTAAAATCGATTCTCAAGAATCGATTCTCAACAATTTTTTTACATATAGACCAATCTGGCTCCAAAGCAATTTTCAATGTCACCTAAGTGCTTATCATTTTGTTAAAATTAGAGCTTGATTTGGTTTCGGGCTGGCCGTCTATAAAGAAAATCTTGAAAAGATTCGATAATCGATTCCAGAATCATTTTAATTATAAGATCCAGAAATAAATTTTATATATAAATTATTATGTAATTTAAATCGGGCGTCACTTTCAACGCGAAAGTACAATCGACATTGCAAAAAAAAATTTCTCATCGACGGTCGTCACGTGGACACGCCAGAAAAGATTGGAACTATTAGCGTCTGATTTAAAAACGAGTTTATTAAATAAACTATTTATAAAATATTTAAATTAATTCACTCAAAAATTTGACAAAATGTAAATTTTTTTATTTATCATATATTAAATTTTTATAATATAAGGAAATATTTTCAGTATTAAATAAATAAAACAAAAAAATAAAAATAAAAATAAAAAATCAAGGATTTTAAACAAACGTGTTTTCCATATACACAGCCACGTGCCTCCATTTTTTACAAGATTTGGCGAAGACGCATAAATAGTGCAAAGGTCTAATTTTTAAAAACTTCCAAAGTTGCAAGACATTTTTTGATTCAAATATACTTGTGATGAATATCTATGAGAGCCTTTTCAGAGAGAATTTTTTTAAACCCAAATATTTCTATAATGTCTTTTAACTTAATTATTATTTACTTGAGAATCTTATAAACTACTTTTGTCAATAATAATTGTTGCGCTTGTTTGACACGAAATTTCCTATCACGTGTTGCATCAGTTTGTGGTTTCACATGGGCATGGTGATATCGATAAACTGCAAATGGTCAATCCGAAACATTTTCAAGTATTACAACCCTTTTCTCGACGTTTTGCCACCTTTATTATAAATGACGAATTTCGCAATATAGACTTCCCAATCATTTATGGATTGTCTAATGAAAAAACTCGATAATCATGACATCTTTTTTCTTTGAAGATGCTATGATTCACTCCTCATATATTTTCCTATCGTTGTTCGCTCGCTTTTCATATAGCATGTTATCAATACCTTATTTCCCTTCTTTTCACACCGAATTCTCGTTGAAATATTTCAGATTTGCCAAGGATTGGCTGGCTTTTCATATTATCATGTGCAATAATTTATATAATTCAAAAGATTTATTAATGAAATTTCCAAGTCCAACAAATTTTATATTAAAATATAGATAATATAAATTTAGAAACTTATTATTTCGTACAATGGTTTATTTACGAATTATTATTTATCATCGGTTCTAGGCTCTTCCTTATAAGGAACTTGATTCATGCAAGTTGAAAAGTTTGATTAGCATCCATCAGTTAATAATAATAGTGTGTCGATCCAATTTCTGGCGTGCGTTACGCAGTGTCGTGTCGCCATAAAAAAAAAAATAATAAAAAAAAATATAAAATTTGCAAATAAAGAAATTTGTATGATCAAAATCAATCCCAAACATCATACGAGCCATTAACGAATCTAATTAACATGCCGACAAGAGAAAAAGAGGAAAAAAAAAGTGTTTGATGATGTTTTCTCGGAAAAAAAAAAAAGTGATTTTCTTTTTCAGGACACCTAAATAAGGAATAATTTCTTAGCAATCTGATTTGTCATATCGCCATATCTAATTTTTTAGTTTTTATTTTTTTTTTTATTGTTTGATGAGATGCATTAAAAGGAATGATAAAAATGTGCATGTAAACAACGAAACATTCGATGGTTCGACAAACAAAAAAAAACATATGAATCATGTGCGAATTCTCACAAACAATGTTTGAAAAATTTTGTTTTTTTTCATACCTTTTAAATATTGTCTTCTTTTCAAATTTAAGTTTCATCATTTCCTTTTTCCCTGGTTCGTTATTTTTTTTTATGCATGAATGAATTACCGCGAAAACGTTTGTTTGCAGTGAGTTATATTAAAACAATAGCAATACGATATTGAAAAAAAAAAAAAATACTAATACCTATTTTAAACTTCTGTACATCAAAAACAAAAATTTGAAGTGCATCGGTGCGACAAATAGCAGGGGGTGTCACATCACAGCTGTTGATACTATTCAAAGTTATTAGGGATGAAAAAAAAACTTTTTGGAACCGTTAGTCGGAGTCAAATGATAAATTTATAGCGTATATATATATCTGGTCCACAATAATAATTGATCGAGACCAAAAATTCAAGGGACGGCGCAGCAAATCAATGAATTACGTTTACAGCTAAATTTGATGCAAGCATCTGTTGCAAATCTAACCCTTTTTGAAAAAAGTTACGTTCCATAACGAAGTACAGTGCATAAATTGATTTCGATTTAAGAAGTATAAATAACGTCAAAATTTTATTATCCAATTCCAATTTCAAAATAGTCGATAATTATGACGCAAATTAATGATAATGAAAATTCCTTCGACCCAACTCCAAAGTTAAAATCTAGCCCGGTACAAATACTTTTCATCCCTTTTATTGAAAGTGCGATTAAATGCATACATTGTGGAAACGTGTTTGCCAATGCGGTTGATAGTTGCCAAAAATATTGCAAGAATTGCTTAGCATGGTACATCAAATATTTAATTGATAATGATTTGTACTTGGATCTGCATATCGGCAGAAATAATGCGCAATGTAATCAGCATAAACCACGAAGAAATGCGGATTTTTACACTCAAGTAATTCAAGATTGGTGCACCGTGTGCTCGGAAATTTTTTATTTTAGGCAAATCATCATAAATTACAAAAAATATTTGTCCATCTCGCTTAAAAGATACGGTTATCAAGAGTTGTTTAAAAATTGTAAATTATGTAATAAATACGTCATGTTGGATGACCTATGCTCGGATTGTTATAAACTTTCTTTTGAATTTGTTGAATCAACCATCGTTAAAGCACTTGTACCGGTCCTTTACTTACCATGGTGGGATACCGTTAAATGTTGTTTTATTTGTGAAAAAGAATTAAAAAGTGAATCCGAATGTCAGAAATGGTGTCCAGGTTGTTTAGTCATATATTCCGGTTGCAGATATTGTCTAACAACCAATGTTATTTTTGGGGTTATAAATCTCACCCAATGTAAGAAATGCACAAGAACTTCCTTAATTATTGTTGATACCAAACATGTCAATATCAGTGGAAATGAATGTATCGATGGTTTTCTTTTTTATACAAGGTTTAACAAGTATTATCAGATTGATAATTGCATGAATAATATTGGGAATCCCTTGAATATTTATGACTCCATCAAGGAAAATTTTAGTAAATTTCCTCAAAGACCGATAATGAAATGGATCCCGTATACGCAGTTTACAAACTTAAAGAGGGTGGGGGAGGGAGGTTTCGGCATTACTTATAGGGCAACTAGATCATGTCCCGATAATAATCAAAATGAGATTGTTGCGATAAAAAGGTTGTTGAATTCTCAGAATATTAGCATGTTCTTTCTGGAGGAGGTAATATTATTCAATTTTTATCTTTTTTTTTTTTATTTTATTCAAGCCTTAATCTAATTCATTTCGATTTGTGAATTTAGTTAAAGTCATCATTTCATTGTTATGAATATGAAGGTCGCATTATTGGATGTGATGGATTAACGCAAGACCCCAAAACAAAAGATTTTATGATGGTGATGAAGTATGCAAATGCAGGAAACTTGCATAATTATTTACAAACAAATTTTAACTTTGTCACATGGAATTTAAAGTTGGACATCTTATGGAGAATTACGCAAGGGTACTTCATATTTAATTCCTTCATTTTTGAATTATTTAATCGAATATTTCGTCACAAACTTATTTAATCGTAACGTTACTTTCGATGTCAGACTTCTTACCATTCACGAAAAGAATTATGTGCATCGGAATTTCCATAGTGGAAATATATTATTGGAATATACAAAGCATAATAAGGAATGGTACATCGGAGATCTGGGTTCATCACGACCTGCAAATGTTACCTCCTCGAATGATGAAATATACGGTGTCATACCTTATATTGCACCCGAAATATTCCTTGGTGAACAGTTCACACAGGTTTCGGATGTATATAGTTTGGGAATAGTCATGTGGGAATTAACCACAGGTTGTAAACCTTTCGCCGATGTTGAACACGATCATCGACTTATCGATGAGATTATTAAGGGAAGTCGGCCTGAAATTACTCAAGATACTCCTGAATGTTTTGTTGATTTAATGAGAAAGTGTTGGGATCCTGACCCTTCGAAAAGGCCTTTCACTATTAAAATTTATGAAATCATTAATGAATGGTCCTCGAAATTGAATACCGAAGAGTTTGCATTATCTGAAGCGAAAAGAATTGAATTGACGCAAACAATGAAATTGGGTCCAAAATTTAGTAAAATACCTCATACAGAAGCAATTTTCACAAGTAGAGCTTTAGGTTCTTTGATCGCTAAATCTTCATCAAAGATATCAACATCAGGTAAGTTCAGAATTTGAAACAGATGATTTTGATATGTAAAGTTTATTCCGCTTTATTTATTCTTATGTTTTTTCAGATGTTGATGCGCGGTTTGATATAAATAAGATTCAAAGGTATTCTTATATAGGGAGCAATATATTTCAAAATTTTAACCTTAATTTGTGTTTTTACATGTATAGTGCCTTCTTTATTTAAATTGATATTTTCTTAGGCCATTTGACGATTCAGCTTTTCAAAATACTTCAATTCGCAATACAACAAGACCATTTCATCTTAGTAGTGGATCACAAAATGAATTCCTTTCATCCATAAATTTTGATAATGCGTAAAATTCGTATCGAAACACAAAATAATATCATTAGTTAGATCTTGTGATTATTTTTACAATACTAAATTGATTTTATTTAATAACATTTTTTTTTTTTTACAAGCAATAAACAGGAAAACATTTCAGAATTAATATTATATAAACTTACTCGAAACTTGAAGAAATCTACTTTGAAAAAGTTTAATAAAATCAAATTTGACTTACAAATATGAAATAAATAATCAAAGTTACTGAATATACAATAAATTCTATATATATTTTTTTTTTTTTTTTTTTTTTTTTTTTTTTTTTACTTCCTTTAAATTTTTAATTACTAAATAAACCTCCTTTAATTATTTTTTTTTTTTTTTTTTAAAAGTAATCATTCAAATTTTACGAATTCCAATTATATTTATTATCTTATAAGTGATAAATGTAATTTTGATCTAATCAATTCCCTAAATCATTTTATGGAATCTGGATTTTTTACTGCCATATTCCAATTAATCTTGGATGATCCAAAACTTATGTCAGATATTAAAAAGTTTATTTACGTTGAACTCAACTTGGTACAATGGTTGATTATTTTAGTTTCCAACCTTTTTATAAATCTCAACGACATAGTACAGTATTCTACACAAACTCTAATAGAATCAATTTATTCGAAATTCTAACATTTATCTCTTTCATTTTAAATCAATTATTGAAAACTAGAATTTTCCAAATCATTAATTTCAATCATATTTTAGTTTCGTAGATATCTATTTAATTTCTCAACTCAATCATATAAATTGTGATTAAAAAATAAGTAATTTTTTTTTTTACTATTTATTCAAACCAAGAAACGAGCACTAATTTTAAATACATTCTTTAGTTTGAATTATTTTATAAATATATTTTTTTTAACTACAACCGAACAGTAGATTTTATTTATAAATATTTTCAACCCATAAGCAAAAAAAAAAATGGTAAATAATTTTAACAGAGACCGAAAAAATTTTGGGAAACTTAATACGGTTATATGTGTCGTTAATTTGATTGATTATTTAGTTAAGCTTACTAGCAAATAATTAGGTTTAGAAAAGTATCCACCAAAAAAACTAAAAATCATCATCATTCTTTTTAATTTGTTTGATTCTTTTTTAATCATTAATTTAATTTTATTTTGCTTTTAGCTCTTTCGGTGATCTCAGTTCGGAAATAAAAGGCAAGGAATTTTTCCATTCTTTTTTTTCGCCTATGCATTGATTAAATAAATAGGCAAGCGTATTCTTATTTGCTTCAATTTGCTTTTTTTTATTTTGCTTTTTGTCGCGATATTTTTACTTTTTTTTCGCCATTTTATTCTTTTTTCTTTTTACTTTCGGTCATATTTTTCAGGTTTGATCGCCTTAGGACCGCAGAATTCGAATATCTTATTTTTTTTTCCTTTTTATTATTAGTTAATTGTTTCGATCGAATAATAAAAAAAACTGTAACAGCGGGGAGTGTTGGATACTCTAGAACCGTCTACATTATTGTTTCGACTTAATCATTATTTTAATTACATTTTCTTTATTAATTTTCATTCACTTCATTTGCTTTTACGAATATAATTATGTATTAACAGGGTATATTTCAGCTGAAGCAAATAATTAAATTCTATTAAGGAAAATTCATTTGTATTAATTTGTTGTAGTAGTTGATTCAATAAAAAAAGTTTTGAGTTGATATTGATTGTCTGGCGAAAACTTGTTTCGGAGGTTATGAACTTGAGCCAGAATTATGGTTTACAAGGCATTCAATATATTGCACGTTATGGAAGTCGTACCCAGGCTATGAATCTCACGAACTATCATTAGAAGTTATAATTATACTCATTTCTTTGAGCATTAATTGTCTTTTTCAACTATCGTTGATTTTGAAAAGAAATTCAAGCGATATACTTTAAAAAGCTGATTTTATCTTTTAAATAAAAAGTTGAGCTTGTGTTATGACGAGCATATCGGTAAGTTTTTCAAATCATTCATCACTTTATATGCATTTCCTTTATTACCATTATTATGATTAATAGTGGTAACATTGTATTTTAAATACTTCCTGTTTTTTCCTACTTTCTTCATCTATTTTATTTTTACTTCCATCTATTTATTTCCATCATTAACTGTAATTATAACGATATCCCTACGCTGATCGTACTTCTCTACGTGATAATGACCACTATTGCACTATTACCATTCTTGCTGCTTGAGTTGAAGACAGAATTCTAAAAGAAATTGATAATCAGAAGGACTAAGTATTGCAAAAAAACATTAAAACATTATATTTATGTATTTTGAATTTCATATAATATTCCCTAAATATTTTCAGTTCATAAAGACTTTAGCTTTTGTCAGTTTCATTGCAGGATCAAAATCAGGAGGTTTAAATTTTTTTTGCCAAAGTAATAATTAATAAACTGAAAAAAAAAAATGTTAATGCTGTCAATTGATGGACTAGATCCTTAAATGTATATTACTTATTTGTGCATAACATTAATAAAGTAATGATTGAATGTTACTAGTGATGAATTTGAACAGACATTGCATTGATGTAAACTTTGGAATTTGTAAAAGAATAGATCCAGCTGAAGAGTAGGACCAGGAACATGACTATGAGGTTAAAAACCTTTAATACATTAAGGATTCTTATATTTACCCACATGAAATATAAGATTATTTTGATGTTAATTACATGGATAGGTACAATATTAGGAAAGCAGAAAAGTTGAACGTAAAATACACATATTATTAGTTCAGATTATTTTCATAAAAAAGAATTACCAATCTCAACTGCCTTTAAAATATTGCGGAATGCAGATCTTTGTTTAATTGATCTTTAATAATAGGAGAGTGCTCGAGAGTTAAGAGAAGATTAAATTCTAGGAACAAACTAATTACTCTAAATTGAGCTTATATTTTATCCTCCACGTACTTGACAGTAAACCAAGAATTAAGACCAATTTCAGTAATGAAATCAATTGCAAGCTAGTAAATCATAGAGAATAATGAACAAAGTAAGATTAGAGGAGGGTTTCTAGAAATTTGTCAAACGTATGTAGTTTTTATCCAGGTAGATTTAAATAAAGTTTAATGTTACTTGACATTAATCCTTTTGGACAACTATATAAAGAGAACATAATTCAAAAACTCTAATAGTATTTCTAATTAATCATTTGAAGTTTTTTGAATATACTTTATAATGATTATAAATCTATAAATCATTTCAGATCTGTGATGGCAAATGACCAAGGACATTTGGCTACTTTGAAATGACCTCTTAATGACCTTCGAATGACCTGGTCATTTGAGTTCATTTGTCATTTAGGTCATTTGAATGTAATACCTTATAATTCATGCCAAATTTTTTTAGATCACATTAATGACTAAGTCAATTTGATTTGTCATTTAATGTTGAAATGCCCCAAATAACACCTGACCAGATGATTACAGATGATGTTGTAATCATGCAATGCTGAAGATGCATTATCGATTCCGTTACATTATTTTTTTTAAATTTTTGCTTTTATTTTCGTTTGAGTTTAATTTTTAAATCATTTAATCTTTATTATTGATTTTTTTTTAATTTCATTGGGTGCTTTATTTTTTTTTATTTAATCTTTTCTTGGATTATTATTTTTCTTTTCGATAGATCAGTTTATTTCATAATTACTTCATTTTATTTCAAAAATTTTTTGCAAATAACATCGCTTAGTTTCTAAGGAAGTAAGATTCGTTCAATTTACAATTTATACAAGAGCAAAAATAAGTCTAATGCTTTCTTAAAAGGATCATTTATTTAGGGCTGTATGGCCTAGATCAAATACTTATGATTGAAAGGAAGACTATGGCATAGATCCAAAATATCTGAAATGTTAGATGTACCATCAAAGTGCAGCAGTAATTTTTGGAGTCTGGGCGCACATGCAATAATGAAATGAAATTTATTGCAAGATACCCTGCTAATTCAAGTAAGTAAATATTGATGATTTCACAGATATTCAGCCTAGGAATTCCTTATATATAACTTGCTTTAATTGTCAGTTTGTAGGCAAGTCTGGTTGATCGAATACTAGTGACAGCTTCTAGGCAAGCTTATATTGGCTGTTGAGCATTACTACTGGGCTAGGTTACAGTAGGACTTCTGAATATACATTTTCCGAATCCAATTTCCCGAACTGAAGGTTTCATTGATATTTATATATTTTATATCAAAAAATTAAAATAAGAATTTGAAAATGACCACAAGAAAATCTCAACAGGGACGATTATTACGTTCACAAGTTGCTGAAGAAAAGGCAGCGGCGGTAGTTGGTGGAGGTAGTCTTCTGCATTATTATGAAACTTTTGGTTAGATTTTATCTATTTTGAAATTTTGAAATTTATGTTGTTGGTGATGAAGCCGATGCAGAAGAGAAAGATACTGGACAATTTTTACAGAACATCGACTGGTCTACTAATAATATGCATCAAAGAATTCTATACTGGATTGGTAATATATATTTTATGATATTAATTTTAATTGTAGTTTCTTGAAATAACGTCATATAATATCCTTTAGGGCTCTACCAAATGGAAGGAAAGCAAAGGAGCTCTAAGACTTCGAGGATTATGGATAACTATTATTCTGATTTTATCTGCAGTTATTGCAAAGGTGTGAGAATATTTTGTAAAATGATTAAGATCATGTAATGATAAAGTTTACTTATGTTATTCTTTAAATTATAGCGAATATCGAAATGCTAAAATAAAATCTTCAACTAAATAATGATGACAAATTTGAAACTGTCCTTAATTCAGCTTTTGAAGGATTGGAACAAGGATGAAAGTCATTGGTGAGAAGACGATGAACACTTACTTGGAAGGGCTTGACGATATAAAAAGGGAACGTCAAAAAATGTTATGAAAAGGCCGAAGTTAAACTGAATATTTCTGATGCGAACAAACATCCAAGCAAATGCACCTGTTACAAAAAAAAGAAGCTGTACGTCAAATTTTCGGAGTAATTAATTTAATCTTTGATTGTTATGGAATAGTTCAACTCATTTTTCCTTTTGAAGGGATAAGCATCTAAGACGACAGACAACTCCTGTGGAAAATCCGCCCCAGCAACAAAGCCAGGAAGTCTTCCAAAAAATGCTTCTACTAAAGTTGTTGCTCCACCTTTCAAAGAAGAGTGGAAAGGAGAAAAAGAAATGTCAAGTTTGCTGAATTGATTTCCGAAGATCAGACTGCCGATTGAGTAAAAGAATTAGAAATTGCGTTTTGAGGGTGAGTTATTTTAGTAACTTGTAATTATGCAAATTTTTACTCTTTATTTTCATATTAGCCAATGAGAAGCTGGATCCGTTCTAAAGTTAATTATCATGTTAAACATGGATGTGAAAGAACATTTATATTATAATGAGTTGTATTATGTATGAAGAAGATTGTATAATACGTGTAAACCTAAGTTTTCAATTTAGACTTTTTTAATATAATGGAGATACTTTATCGAAAGGTGTACCAAGTAAAATGCATTTTTTTATTTTACTTACTTTTAATAAAAAAATAATATCGCATTTATAAGATTGTTACTGTAGCATTGATAGAAAAGTTGGTGACTTGAATTAAAGGAACTTGTAGAAGACGCATTTACGGCTTATTCCGAAACAATTGGTATATTACTTGTTATGTTGTCTAAATTAAAAAATATTTATAATACTAATAAAAAATATAAAATTATAGCATATGACCCATTGCGTGAAGCAAAAGCACCCAGGACATTAACTGATAGTTTAATATGCTATCATGGAGTTTGGAATAGCAGTTGTTCAAGTGCGCGAATTGATTGAATTTCTTAATTTCACATTAAGCAGTCGTAATGCGGCTGTTCGCACAAATTCTGTCACTGTTTTGGGAGCCTTGTTCGCTTTTGTAAGATTAGGTAAAAAAAAAGGTTGTTAAAATAATCATCCTTATAATAATTTATTTATGTTGTAGATATAATAGCATTTGTTAAAGACTAAAATCCCTACTCAACTTTCACAACTGACAATGAATTTGAAAGTGGCTGATAAGGCACTTCCAAAACCAATTAAACAAGCGATTGTATCATTAAACCTAGAATCATTTTTATATTTAACTTAAATATTGATTTTTTGATTTATCCTATTCTTTATACATTTAAAAAAAAGGTCGAAGTTATAAGTAACGATGATAGTGGAAAAAATACTACAGAAGAATTATTTCCTAAAGTTGATATCAGTGCATAGTTTACTAGTAATTATGTCGTAAGTTTCTTTAATTGGTGAATAAATATATTATCCTTGCTTAATGTTAAAAGCTGAAATTATAATAATATATTATTAGGAATACAACGATGGTGAATAGAAAGTTCGAAAGAATGTACTTGATCAAGTTCTTGCAAATGATTACTGCCAAGCTTGCTATAAAGCTATATGACAGGCATGCTTTGTGGTCTCCTCCTTTAATTAGTTCTATTTCAACAAGTCTTGCAATAGATAATCTTTTATTAAAAAAATCTATTTAGTTGGCCTTTCGAATGTCTAAATTAAAAGAATGCGTTACCAGAATTGTCACTCAAATATAAGTTCGAAATGATGAAGTTAGAAAAGCAGCATAGGCTAGTTAAAGACATATAGTAAAAAGGACAAATTCTTAGATCACCGCTAATTCAACAATTGACAAACCAGCTGCAACATTAGAAAATCCATTAGCCACAGAAATTCTAATGAATCGAAATTACCTACAAAGCACCCACCTTCTTTATTAGCAGCATAACCTAGTTTCATCATGCTTCAGTCACATTCCCATAGAGGTGACATTACAAATGGTAATGGTAGAGGGGGACCACTTCCGTCAAGATTATAGCTTTCTCGAATTCGCCTTGGTATGAATGGGGCTAATTTCTACATAATCTAATGGTTCCAATGAAACTAAGAATGATTTGTCTAGTATATAAGTCGAAGACGCTGCTAGTGCTAAATTCTTAATTGAAAATAATAGTACTAAAGATTCACAAGTTGTTTATATAGTCGGATCAATCTTTGTGATTGAATTTAAAGCTGTATAAAGAAAGTAGAACTTGGAATGATAAAACATTTATGAGTTCATCTACATCAATAATGGATAGTATTCAAATGATTGTCAATGACTCAATAGTTTTGTTGTAACTTGTATTCATAATTTTAATAATGATAATCTCAACCATAAAAACAGAACCGCGCTCAGAAATTCGCTGTTTAGCAGAAGGTAATCCAGGAGAATGCAGAATCACATCGAGATTCGCTTGATCGTTTATTATCTAGCTAGTCGTATGTTAGATCTTAATATCTATAGGTGAGAGAGATAATTTTCCTATATAATGAAATGTTATAACTCATTAATCATTACTTAATTATTATATCTTCATTTTTTTTAGTTTACAAACAAGGTTTACTGAACTAATCGTAAGATAATTTGAAGGCTGCTATCATTTCATCGAATAAATTATTACGTGATTCAATAGCTTTTTTAGCAAACCAGCTGAATGGAAAAGGCAAGCAGCAGAAAGGTACCACCGGGCGAAATGTTTTAAGACATCGTAACTTGGATTGGCGCTGCACACAGTATGCATACAAATTCAGATTATATATCTTTGAAGGGACCTTATTATTATACACATCAATATAGTGAAAGATGAATCCAAGAAATTACTTTCGGAAATACTTTGTCTAATTTTCTAGTGTAATTACTAACTTATCTTGGTTGATTTAAAGGTCATTCATCATTAAGATTAATACTTACTCAAATAGAATATAGAATCTTTATTTTTGATCTAAAATAAGATAAATTTTCAACAGATTTCTTTAAATAACATATTGAAAAGAAAATTAAAAAGAATTAATTCAATTAAAGAATAATATTAAGAAATTAGTAAAATTGTTAATATAGTATTAATTGCAGATTTATTCTTATAAAAATATAAAAATCATAATAGTTTTAAATCTTATATAAATAATAAAAAACATTAAATGATATTGATCATTATTATTAATCTTATAAGTCAATACTAAAAAACATACTTCTTATTATTCTTATAAATAATGATAAAATAATATTATTTTTTAATAATAATAATCATTTTTATAAAATATTTGTGATTATTATCATAATTATAATTATTTTTATAAAATAATAATAAAAAACATATCCCTTTTAATTATTATGCTTACAAAATTGTAGGCAATTTTATTTATTAATTACAAATCATTTTTAATTATTTTTAAATATTTTAAAATATATTATTAAAAAATTAATACTTTTATTATAAATTTTATGATGTTTTTTAAGTAAAAATTTAAAAAAAAATGTAATTAACTAGTGATTTTTTAAAGATAAATAAATAATAAATTTTAAACTTATAAATCTTGCTATCTATCAATCTCAGAAATATAAAATATTACCATTTAATAAATTTTAATGTAGTGAATCTAATATACTATATTTTAAATTTTTGTAATTATTAAGTAATAAATTATTTTAAAAATTAATTTATATTGATAATTATGAATTTTAAAAATTCAAAAATACTACTATTAGATATATCATATTATGATAAATCTAAAAATTTTA